AGATTAGAGGTGTTACAAGAGATTTACACACATAAAAAAAAGAAGAAGGGGAGATAAGGACGATAGATGTTTGATAGGAAAGAAGAAGCAGCAAACCACATCAGAGCACCCGACAACCTCCCACTCCTTTCTCAGACTGCCAAGAGCCAGGCATGTGGGGTCAGGAATGCAAGACACCTTGCGAGGACTCCAAGTGTTCCGTCTGCGATAGATGGGAAGGCAACCACTGTCACGAGTGCAGAGATGGTTTTGAGAAGACGCCAAAAAACACGTGCTCACCGGGTGAGGACTGAAACATGAGCGAATTTCTGAATGCTTCTTTTTATTTGGTTATCTTTTGGTAAGTGTTTTACGGCACTCGCAACTACATAAGGTCATGTAAGTGCGCGGGACTCATTGAACTTTTTTAGTTTGTTAGGAATTAACTTTGAATTTTGTCCTGGTGGCGGCCGAAGTTTACTCTTATCCATTTTGGTCCACCAATGGATCTTTCATCTGTGCAACTTGCACTCAACACCTCCGAATTTTTTTTTTACTTATCCGAGAAGGCTAGGTGTTAGATCTTACCTATCTTAAGACCAGACGTGTGGCTCAAAGACAGCAATAAGTTGGACCCAAGGTTTCTTTTTTTATAGTTAGGGTTTTACGACGCTCGCAACTGTATACGGTCATATGAGCGCGCGAAGGTTTCTGAAGGTTTGCGTGTTTTGTAGTGGCTCGGTAACTACAGGCAAAGATCCTACACTACGAGATGGTTCACGGAACCCCCCCAAAAAAGCGTCCGCGGCAATACACATCTATTCTCAGATGGCGATGTAGTCGCTGTTTTGAAGCTCTTTTTCGTTTCCCCAGAAGAAGAATAGGAATTGCATCTCCTTGCTCATGAAGGTTGACTGCTGTTCGTTGGTCTACGATCAGCTGTTCGCAAGTACATGTACGCGCTTATTCTCAGGGGGTGCCATCCTGATTTTGAGGACGCCTTTTCATAAGTTCAAATAGAGGAGTGAACCATCTTGTAGTGTTGGATCTTTCCTGATTTTTGAAAGCTTGGAATCGTTGGAATCAAGTTCGAACCCAGTTACTTACAATTGATGAGATATTTGACGGGGAGGTTATGGTTTCTTCCAGGGGTTCCGACACCCTAGACAATTACAGTTACCTCCGGCGAGTAGTGAGTGCTTCTTTCTGTTGAGTTGGGACTTCTAGAATTATTACATGATTACTTCCGGGGAATAGCAAGTGGGGCGTTCTGACAAAATGAGTTAATTCTCGGATGGATTTTAACCTCATAGACACAGATATATACCTCAAATTTTTAGGTTTAGTTTGTTAGTCGTATTATATGAAATGAAAACTAAATCTATTTAACTCGAAGAAAATCACATTATCTCAAGATAACCTCGTTTCCAGAACACGACGAGACATAAAAATGGATTGAATAAGTGTTTGAGAAAGTTTGTTCAGGATCAGGTGGAAAGACAAGGCCACTGTCGAGGATAATATATCAAGACATGGGAGACGCTGTGTAGTAGTAAGGTTTACTTTCTTGTACTGTGTGAGCGTCCAGTCCAGGTAGTAAGTCAAATACATTCTGAATACGGGTCTCAAATTTACTTTAACCCCGGGTTTGTTTGTTTTTGTTTTTGTTTTTGTTTTTTGTTATTTTGTTGCTTTGTTGGTTTTTTCAGTGTTTTGGGTTGTTGTAGTTTGTTTTTTTTGTGGGGGGTGTTAACGTTTCTCCACGATTAAGCACTGCAGGCCTATAATTTCGGAACAATTTCAGCTTCCTGAGAATAATCAATCCCGTCAATAGTCGTATAATATCCTAGACTGGACACTCTGGTGTACTTCTGGTTCACATTAGAGCAAACCATTTGACTCTATTTGGAGCCAAATGACTGGTAAGGGGGAATGGTTACGCGTTCACACAACTACCGTGACACTGTCTAGTGTTCTGTCCCATCGTTTGACTTCCTTTCTTTTACTTTTTATAGCTTTCTGTATCCGGAATCGAGGATTAAAACTTACTCTTACCTTTCCTTTTCTTTTTTTTCTCTTTTTAAATTTCTTCTTGCTTCCGACGTGGAGGTCTGAAGTTCACTTTAACCTTTCGCTCTTTGCTTTTTTTCATTCAACATGGATGCCCTAAAGTCCACTTTTTTAAAATTACCTTTCCTGTTATAGCTTTCTGTATCCGAAATGGAGGTCTAAAGTTTACGCTTACTTTTCATTTTTTTTTTTTTATTATTCTTTTCTTTTCTTTTTCTTTTTTCCTTTTCGTTTTTTGAGGGTGGCTGGCGGGTGCTCTGGTGTGGTTTGCTCCTTTTTTCCTATCAAACATCTCTTGTCCTCATCTCTCCTTCTTCTTTTTTATGTGTTTGTTACTCTCTTGTAACACCCCTAATCCCCTGGCGCTCATGTGACCGTATGCAGTTGCGAGCGTCGTAAAACCCTCTACTAAAAAACATTTCCTTCTTTTTTTTCTTTTTTTTTGCCTCTCTGTTTCCGACCAGAGTGCATTGACGATCGTGTGTGGGGCGACACGTGCGCTCGACCGTGCGAAGATAAAAACTGTGCGAAGTGTCGGAAGTTTGATGGTTCTCATTGCGTCGTGTGTGAGGATGGCTATGTGATCACCCCTACCAAAAACTGTTCAAAGGGTGAGTGCAGTTCGTTTCTTGTGTTTGTCAGTTGTTGGTGGGTTTTTTTTGTTGTTTTTTTGGTCTTTTTGTTGATGTTGGTGGTGGTGGTGGTGGGTTTTGGGGGTTTTTTAGGGGGCTGTTGGTGTTCTTTTTAGTTTTGGTTTTTTCTTTGCTTTTTTAGTCTCTGTTTGAGTATGGGATTTATTTCGTTTTAGTTTGGGGTTTGGCGTTTTTTATTTGTTGTGTTTTGTGTGTTTGTTTGTTGTTAATGTTTGGGTTTTTTTTTCTTTTTTTCTTTTTTGGGGGGGGGAGGGTACTTGTTTTTTGTGTGTGTAGTGTATCGAATATGTTTGTGTATGTTTGTGTTTGCGCGCACGTGTGTGTGTGTGTATGTATGTGTGTGTGTGTTTGTGTGTGTATGCAGTGTGTGAGTGTGTGTGTGTGTGTGTGTGTGTGTGTGCGCGTGCGCGCGCATGTGTAAGCGGTGAGTGTGTGTGTGTGTGTTTGTGTGTGTGTGCATGCAGTGTGTGTGTGTATGTGTGTGTGTGTGTGTGTGTGTGTGTGTGTGTGTGTGTGTGTGCGGATACTGTGTGTGTATGAAAGTCTGTAGTATGCATGCTCTACTTGTTTGTTTTGTTTTTATTGTGTTTTTGGGGGGGGGTTTGTTGCATTTGGGTTTTTTTTTATTCTTTGGCGAGTGTTTTACGGTGTTCGCAACTGTATAAGGTCATATGAGCGCGCGTGACACATTAAAAATATTCAGTTTGTAGGAAATTTTGCATTCTGCCCGGGGGGCGGCCGAAGCTTACTCAAATCGATTTTGAACCTCCAAGGGATCTTTAACATGCGCAACTTGCGCACGGGACTTCCGAGACTTTTCGCCCTTATCCGAAAAGGTTATGTGTAGATCTTACCTAACATAAGATCAGGGGTGTGCCTGAAAGACAGCAGTAAGAAGGAGTCAAGGAGCAGCAGTTGAAAGACTGCAGAAAGAGGTAGGAGCCCAAAGGGGGCAAAGGGGGCGTGGGAGGGGGCATAAAGTGAAGGCGAAAGCAGACGACAGTATCTTGTTAGAGAGCAGAAAAGGATGTGAAAGGAGAAAAATTTTTAGAAGAAATTTTCCGTCTCTATACGGATTCGAATCCGGGACCTATTGATTGAGAGATGATCACCTTAACCTCTATACCACGAGAGCCCCCACATGTTCTAATGTTTACTCGAGTGAGTATAATTTGTGTATATGTATGCACGTGCGTGTGTGCGTGTGTGTGTGTGTGTGTGTGTGTGTGTGTGTGTGTGTGTTTG